TTATTATTAAAAAACCAAGGTACTGATCACATCATGATAAAATCACAATAGACTTAGTCAGACTTATCGTGTCTTGTTGGATGACAAACCATTGTGATCACCTAGTCCGACAACATGCTTAACATGCAAGTGAGTTAGAATTCACTTAGAACAATCATTTGGTCCCTGCCACCCCCTTCCCCACCCTTGAAAAAAAAATGTTACAGGAAAGGCCAGCTCTATTCGGATTCGAGTCCGAATATAATTTTTTTATCTATTCTGGTCTCGAGGTCCGAAAAAAAGGTTTGATTTATTCGGACTCAGCTTCTAAGTGATTAGAAGAGTGTAAGGAGGTTACATTATATAAATGTTGTCGGGGGATTTTATGTAAAACTAGAATTAGAACTAGAATTGCTTACTGGGACTGTGTAATTGTGTCAAAAGTCAAAGGGCTGCACACTCATTAGATCTACCCAAAGACAGTGTCTAAGTACACGGTAACCGACAACTCAGGGTCTTTCTACCACCACTGTAGCCTCAAAATTACTTCCACCACCATTTGTCTTTCCACATGTTTAATTACATTTTGTTGTGTGTTATAGTTTTTCTGTAATTTTTATCATTTTCATTACATCGCACAAAACCGACAGCCGTGGTTTCTTCCCAACACCTCTTCCCCCTGAAAGCTGAGAGTGCGAGATCGCTACGCGCAATCTCATTGGTCGACATAAATTAACTTTGCCCCCGGCAAGGTCAGCTCAACTTAGTCGTTCTGTTCATGCTAAAGATGTAGGGAGGGCCAGTTTAGATAGATCTAGATCTAGTAACTGGATAATAAAGCAGCTCACGTCTCGATTGTTATCATTATAATCGAAAAAAAAAGCTCATACATGCTGGAAATATTTAGGGAACAAAGGTTGGAAGTCGGAATGGACGTCATGCTGGGCTCAATTCAGAGTCCGAGTATATTAAAATTTTTTCTCTATGTGACTCGAGTCCGAACAGTCATTTTGTACTGGAAAACCTTTTAAAAAATGCGGCCAAAAAGAGAGATAGATATAACCCATTGCTTCATTGATGGTAAAAACCCAAGGCAACTAGAATGTTTTAGACCTTTTGTTGAGAAGAAACAAGGATGTAAATCTTTACTAAATTTGAATACAACTTCGCCAATTTTAAATGCATCAATCGTCAAAAAGGGTGGCCCTCAAAACGACAAATAGACATCACTAGCATAATCCACATCATGATCATGTAACCATCTACATAATCCCCTCCTACCAACCCCCCCTCCCCTCACCGCTATTCCCCTCCCAATTTCTAGGATAAAAACACCTGAACAGCATTGTGAATTCACCTGAAAAGGCTGAACTTGTTTTCTTTAAGATGATCAAAAAATTATAACCCCATCACCAACAATAGCAAAACGAGCGACAAAAAGGAATATGTCAAATGGCTCAAATTGCAACTCTTTAAAATTTTCTAAAATACGACGCATAAAATTCATGGGAAGGCCATAATCACAAGGCGATCTCGTGTTTGCTTAATCGATTATTCATGTACACATGTCCTGGTATCTTGGTCACATTGTCGAACTTGAAAGAGAAGCACTAGCAAACAACGAATCAACCTCTTTCTCTCTCAGCCTGTCTGTCTGTCTGTCTGTCTGTCTGTCTGCCTGTCTGTCTGTCTGTCTGTCTGTCTGTCTGTCTGTCTGCCTCTCCCTCTCCCTCCCTCTTTCTCTCTCTCTCTCTCTCTCTCTCTCTCTGTCTCTCTCTCTCTCTCTCTGTCTCCGCACCATTAAAACCTCGCTCTTCAACTCCCCCATTTCCCCTCTCTTAATGGGTGGTTGGCGGATGCTCTGGTGTGGTTTACCTCTTCTTTCCTATCAAACGTCTATCGTCCTTATTTGTCCTCCTTCTATTTTGTGTTTGTTACTCTCTTGTAAAACCTCTAATCTCCAGTACTTATATGACCTTATTGTGTTGCAAGTGCTGTAAAACTCTAACTTAAATTAAAACCCCTCCTTTAAACCTAAGCTCTCTCTCCAATTAACAGCTCTCCCCACAGTCTTACCCTCGCAATTCAGTGGACGTTCAGTTGTTTTGTCGTCGTGGTACGAGAGACGTGCTCACTGTCTGCGCCATTCCTTGATGCATCGTCGACCTCCAGAGTAAAGCCTGTTTTACACGTTCAGTTAAAACTGACAGTCTTCCGTCCTCTTTGTGATTAGAAAATGAAACAAGATGTAATCTCAGCAAAAACATTTCTTTTGTTTTGTTATCTGTAAAACCCAACAAGAAAAAGAGCGGCCAGCTGGTCATTTTATTAATTTTGATACGCTGGGTCCGAATTTGATACACTTTTTACATGAAGACGTAGATTTTTTTTTAAAGTTGACAAACCAGCGGGCTGCAGACAGTCACAAGGCCGGGCGCACAAAAACCAAGCTATGCCTGATTTTTGTTGCGGCCGATCTGTCTGACAGTCTGTCACGTCTGCAGCACGCTGGTGGTGAAATTCTAGTTTGTAAACTTATTGTTAACGAAAAAAAAAATCGAATTCGGAACCATTGTATCAAAATTAACCAAATGACTCGCGGGTGATTCTTTTCTAGCTGGATTTTGAAGATCACAAAGTAGAAGTATTTAAAAAAATTGAAATTGCATCATGTATCATTTTCTTATCACAAAAAGGACAGACAACTGTAATGAACCTCTGAAACAGATAGCTTTTTCAATTCAGAGATTCACTTTGTGTATTTGGTATTCTTTGATAAGATCTCCTTATCTAGGATTACTAGCATCTGCAAATGCCACCTTCAACGCATTTGAGCAAGGAAGTGGGTGGGGAACTATCATCGTCAATGAGTGTTTCAGATCTGGCACCCGAATAAGACGGAGCCCAAGGATGGAAAGAGTAAAAAGCCAGACAATACATTTGTGGCCTTCCTCTCGTTTTTTCCCTATCTGCAGACTGGTGTGATATTTATACCAAGATTCTTTGACATTTATGCCAGTTTGGTTTTTGTTTTTTGAGAAAAGAGAAGCGCATCGACACAATAACGGTCAATTAGTGCACGGGAAAAGCAAAGCTGACAGACAGACCGACAGACACACAGACAGAAGCAACAGATGAAAAGAAAAGAAGAAGGACCTACAGTGGCGCCCTCCAACCACCCACATGCCAATTAGGTACACCTCGGCTACCATCTGACATCAAACGTGTTTATTTTATCGGGTCACAGAATTAAGGCTACAGCCAAACACAGGTCGATCTCGCGCGCGGCAAATGAAGATGACATTTTTATCTGCACACGGCGTTACAGCACAAACATGGACCTTGTCTCTCT